CCACACACACACCCCTGCTCCCCCAACTTTGAAGTATCCGCAAGAAAACTAATTGTCTCACTTTCCGGAGGAGAAAATGTACCTCTATTTATTTGTGGACCCGGAAGCCAATCTTTCTGTCTTCTTATTTTCGCCTATTTCATCCATAGGTCAAGTGTCAAGAGGTGAAAAAAGATTTGGACAAAAACTTCGATAACGTCAGCGCTGCTGCGTTGGTCACTGCCTGAACACGACGCGTCTGCCTGCCGAAGAACGAGTGAAAAAGAGGATATTACTACACGACGTGCGGCAATAGCAAAGTCCACGCCACGACTTTGGAATATTATTAGATCATTTTTTAAAAAGGAAACGTCAATCAAACGACTTCGTCATAATAATCTTCAGCTTTGTGTGCTCTCCGTGATGACAGTGGTAATATATACATCGTTTTGTCGCTGGGGACACGGACCACGAGACGGCTGAAGAGGGCGACGGAGGACCGAAAAAAACGAGAGGGAAAAAGGAGGTACGCCAAAGAAGACTATCGAAAACGCGGAGAAGAGAAAAAAAAAGTGAAACGGGTAAGACGGAAGAGGATAAGAAGGAGGAAAAGGTGGAGCTTACTTGGAAACAAGAGGCAAGAGAGAGATACGGATAGAGAGAAGAGGAGACACAGAAGGGAGAAGCAAAGAGAGTGAGAGAAAGAGAGAAAGAAAGAGAGAGAGAGAGGGGAGATTTTACGGAAGACGTCGCCCGTCCATCTGAGCACAGTGTAACATGAAAACGTGCAGGCTGCGGTCGGGAAAGCTAGGAACTCCTGAACTCTGCTTTACGTCCATTGTTCGGGCTCCGGGGACCGAGGGCGACAGCCCTGTGCCGAGGTATGCATTTCTTTTATCCACTTCCCAGCTTTACATTTTATGTGTTGTGGCCGCCAGCCGAGGTATGATAGCTATGCTTTTGTTGTAGGGCAAGCTCCGCTAGCGCCCCGTGTTTGGCGCGGTTTCAGTCTACGAAATAATAAGAATATCATAAGTCTCCCCCCCGCACTATGTATGTTGGGCACCCGAGTTTTATCGAGGCGAAATGTTTGAATTTATGGTCTTCCACTTAGTCAGGTGTTCCGAAAGGAAAGAGGCTGTTTGAGAACAGCAAGAAATTATACGAAATTGATATAGGTTACTTTGTGAAGGAGGCGAAGTGGGTGGGTTATGCGCCACTAGAGGTCGCACCACAAAACATCGGGACGACCGTTTATTTATTTTTTAAATTTTGACTGACATTGCGCCTTGTTGTGGTGGCCTCTTATAACATACAGGTTTTTTTTTCCTTTTCTTTATTTTTTTCTCCCTCTTCATGGTAGGCGGCGCCACGGGTTTGAACTACAAGGGGTACGTTTGTCGTCTGCAGGCATTTGAAGGTTTCTTGAATTCCAACGTTTCATGTGTGCGTAACGGGGTAGAGTTACAGCAGTAATGTGTTGAGGAATCCAATGCCGAAACTGCCGCCTGTTAAACAGGGGGGCAAAGACACTAAGGGGAGGCGGGTAGAACGGTTTGGTACACGGCTCTCCGACGGAACACTACAATAGCTGCGATCGTTTAAAATTGTCAAAAAAATATTTATTGATGTCGCTTGGCTTTTCAGGGAGGTTGACAATAATCTTTGAAGCGAGATTGCCTCCGGGTATTCTTGCTTCGCTAATGCTACCCCTCTCCCTCTTTCCCCCTCCCCCTTTTCCCCT